GTTATTTATAAGTTTCCAGGGTTCCAGCACCTAAAGCAAAATGCTAGCACCAGCTCAGAAACAGCATGATCATCCAAGACACATTCTGTGGATGATCCACAATATAGGTATGGAGTAGAACTTCATGCAAGATACAGGGGGTAATTGATCGTCATCGCTGAAAGGAGAACGAATCCCTAACTCAATGAAGGCAAAAGCAACATGGGCCCAGGTGACTATTATTTTATACCTGCATGTACCCACAGTGAAATTCAGCTCTCCCGCTCAAGAGCAAGAACAAATACGCGGTACAAGGTTGCTTGACTCTGTGGGTATAGACGCATCGAGCAGATCAGTCGTCGGTGAGGAGGTGGGCTAACGAATACTCCACGGTATACAAATTCCCAGGTTGCAAGTGTTGCAAGTCACGACCCAGTCGCTGACTGTGGGAAGTTAAAGCCCAATTGAGTTCGCTGGTTCTCTCGTAAAAATGTGACTAGTTGTTTTACCAGCAATATTATTCTACAAGTTCAAGATGTTTGTTTTGCTCGGATAATCTCGGTAGTGGGGCGATCGATCGACTTCTCCATAATCTACATTACTAGTGGCTCTAGAATTCTACTATACAGGCTGCCATTCCTTTCGGCAGAATCGATTGCCTTTCGTTCAATTGCCGTAAAATTGGACGTATGGGTCCCGCTCTTTTTCACATAAGTACTGCCTTCATGTCACGGTAATTCTACCGTAGCGTAGCAACGTAATCAACATTTTCCAGGCGTGCAGATCTCTCTTACTTCCTCGGGTTGATCTGGCGCGATGATTTCAAGAGACCATAGGGATTTGCATAGTTTAGCTAGTTGGCGCCGGGGAACCTACGCAATATTATATAGTATTGAGAATAGTGCTCCCTTGCAATTTGCTCAGGCTCATTCCGGATAGTTCTTACTGAGGTCCCATCATCGACATCGCCGCAAAACAATAATTTTCCGATTAGGTTCTCTAGGGTTCCCACTCTTGGCAAATGACTCTGTTCGTGTTGGAATCTAAATCTACCTTGACCATTTATAGTGAGATACCGAGATTTTCCGGAGCTAGTTTGGCTTTGTTACGTGGCCAACGCTCTGTACCGTAGGAACTCAAGGGATGTGCCGCTCAGGAAACCCATAGCCCGCCTTATGAGTTTGATAAATTCCGCTTGGATATCAAGACAGGCAGGAGATTTAACCTAAGATGGGTAATGCCTACGGGGATACATCCTATATCACATCTTTATCTATATCTGTACCAGGCACGACCGGGAGTACGCTGAGTATACCAAGTTAGGTTCACTACTGAGGGGTTTTCCAATAATATGCCAATAACCAGAGACAGCGACAAGGAAAATTCCTTTTGGGACTATCTCTTGGTCAACACTATAAAGGAGTCACTTAAAGCTCTTAGGCACCCTGCGGATAATTCCCAGGCCACATACATCAGCCTGTATATATAAAACCCCTTGGTCTAACCTATTATTCTACTCTAGAACTGAGACTTACAGTTCAAAGACTAACTAAGCGACAGATTACAATTTATCCTAATATTGCGATGCGGTTTTGATCTGTTATGTAGCTCGTTATAGTGGCAAGAGAGAAAAATCCAAACCATTGTCAGCTTCAGATCACCCTGTTTCTGCTAAAGGGTATATGGCCTGATTTTACCACATCCCACAGCCTTGATAACCAACCTGAGTAGTCTGGAATAACTAATCATAGCGTTCGCAATGTGTCTAGAACTGGTGTACAAGTTTCCAGTGTGTGGTCATACCGAATCGCAAGCAGATATCTGCCCATATATCCCATTTTGCCGATCACGACAGATAAAGATGGATGCAGACAGGCCTAAGTGCAAAACTTGCGCAGCACAAGACCACACAACACCTGAATCCTGAGGGAGCTTCCTAGGATGGTCAATTAATGTAGAAGAAAGAAGGTATTATTTCATTTGTGAGCTCCTAACCTATTTCTTATTCCAATGATACTTAAGTAGAGGTCCAGTTTAGTGTTTCAAGTTCAATAATCTTTGAATACTTACTGATTATCTATGGGTAAACCTTTTCGAAATTCTTCCCTGGCGCTCTTTTTGTTTGCTCTCTCCCTCTTTTACACTTTAATGGCGTATCATTTCTGCCTAAGTTTCTGATTACAATATCTCATATCATTTCACGATATACCCACTGTTTGTAAATGCCTTGAGTATCTGTGGGGAGAAGATTATCTTTCCTTGCATTTGTATACATCTAGTCATAAGATATATCATTTTGGCGCAAGTTCTTTATGTTACATTGGGATCATTCTCGGTATAAATGCCTCGTCATCATTTACGGGCTGCTCTTCGCTATCAATGAAAAGGATGTAGCCAACATATGCGGGTGTATATGGACTTTTCAGGAATGATACTTAGGGTTCGCAAACAGACAATTCCAATAAAGCTCACGAAAAGTATTGTACTTGGCTAAGTTTCCATTCAAAGCATGTTTTCATGCTGTGTGTGATATATACTTCCAAGAATATGACCGTGCTACGCAATAACTCAATCAATCCTTTACTTCAGTTGTGAGGGCTGACTTTGACAAACTTAGCCTCAACATACTAGATTCGTCTTATGGAATTAATGGCGACTATGTATACTGTATTTGAATAAGATTAATCTTCTGGCCGTTGACGCCACCTCAATGGCTGAGATGATCTATTTAACGCAAGACTACTTTAATATTCAACTTGACTAGTCTAGATTTATTTATAACGAGCCTCTTATGGACGGTTGACTTACAAGATTTTTGGAGCATATCTTCGTTGAGGCACACCTGTACAACCTCGAAATGGTGAATGTGGCGATTGCAGCGCGAACGACTCCTCGCAGACACAGAAGAAAATGCAGAGAATGGGGATGACAGTGCTATGATACCCGTAATAGCAGATGTCTTTCAAAATTAAGGGCCTAATATCAAAGCTCCGATATACTGACCTCCCATTGGAAAGCGCCTATGGATAACTTGAACCGTTGGTTGTCCACATGTCATGCCCGAAGAGGTGCAAGTGGGCTACCCTATCAATCTAATGTTTGAGCCTTCTTTCCACCCTATTGTTGTTTCATTCCCAAGGTACTGGCTTAATACATCTATGTAGTAAGAATACCCAAATAGGTCAAATTGCTCCTGCTGACTAAGAATCACAGCGGAATGAAATAAAGTCAGCCATTGATTGGCTTCTTGCCTCGTATTTATATCTCGTCAAGAACGAGCGATATGGTTCTCCCAGGTTTCTATCTCAAGATTCCTGGAAATGGGCGTGCCTCGAAGTACTGGCTGCTTACTCTGTGTGCAGCGTCGTGTAAAGGTCGGTCTTTCGATACTCTGAAGCCGCCGCTGCATTGATGACTGATATTGGAATAATAGTGTGACGAGGGGCTCCCTGGATGCGCGAAATGTGCGAAATACGGAAGACCCTGCCCCGGATATGACCGAGGCTTCAAGTTTGTCGCGGGGAAGCCGCATCGCTCCAGACGGCGTCTGGGGTCGAAACCAGCGGTGGATGACACGCATCTCGTAGACATCAGCTCAGGAACAGCCAGTCAGGCTATGCAGCAAACCCTAGTTCGGAGGGCCAGTTCATTGTGGTTGAGGTCTGCAGACACAAATATAATGCAGAGTCTGGATATCTTAATTGGTGATGTCTCTCAGCCATTTCCTGCCTCCTCAACCTATACAACATCTCGCTGGTTTACCTTCCTTCCCACTATATATGGAAGAAACAGAACCCTGGATTCCTCCATCAGATGTTTCGTTGCACATCATATTGGCATGATGACGGGAAATAACCAGGCTATCATTTATGCCAAGTCCACATATGTCGAAGCTCTGAACAGGCTCCAGCGATCTCTGTATAATTCAATGGAAAGTCTCTCATCAGAGATCCTATGTGCCGTTCTGCTTCAATGCTTCTATGAGGTGAGTTATCCATAGCCTCGCCTTGCAGCTGGTCTAACACTCTCAAGCTCTTCACCAATGCACACGACTCCACATCCTGGATGAAACACGCCGACGGGTTAAGTCGACTTGTTAGGTTTAGAGGCTGTGACAGCTACCAGACCGAGCTCGATCATACCTTGCTCAAGGCCTCTCGTGGGTTAATTGTATGATCCTCGCGCATGTTCACTACTACCGTCATATAAACACTGTATACTGACCAACGAAAGATCATGCACTCTTTATTTTCAAAGGAGAAATGTTTTCTCACGTCTAGCGATTGGCAATCCGTGATGAAGCAACAGTTCGACTCTACCTTTCCCACCTCTTTCTACGCGCAAGTAGAGGAGCTCTTTGCTCTCTACACAACCATACCGTGCTTCATCCACCAGTTCTTCGAGCTCCGAGAAGCCGATCCAGCGCACGAAACGACGCTGTTGAAGGCATCTGAGCTTCTAAACGACGCCCTCGATATGCAAACCAAATTAACCACTTGGTATGACAAGTTCCGCCATACGGCGCCTCTTCCAACCGAAGTCCTCTCGTCGATGGGCGACACCTTGTATCCAATAGTGTACTCATTCACCGATGTCGACACTGGAACCATCTTTGCCGCGTATTATTCCTATATGGTGATTATTCATGCCATTCTGGGAGCGTGTCGTTACCCCGGTGAACATGCGGCTATGGTTGTGTACTACCGGGACCAGATCTGCATGTCGGTCGAATTCAACGCTCAGGGGATTCTGGGTCCCTCTCGATTGGGATTTCCCTTGCTTGTGGTTAATGAGTTTGCGGACCCTCCCACGAAGCTGTGGGTTCAGGGTTGGTTACAGCGGCTTTCGAGAACTTATAAAGTTATGCTGCCGCAGAATTACGAACGGTGAATATCTGCTGCTATTAATATCGTAGCTTTTTTTCACAAAGCACCATACATTTATGTTTCATATTCTCATGGCTCAAAAGTAAATAAGGTATATAAGGACACCATGTGTCTTCGCCGCTGATCAACAACAATCTATGCCCGGGCCTCTTCAACATCACTGTCAAGTCCTCCCCGAATCGGCTCTGCCACTGCCCGGGCCGACAACAAAATAATCATAATCAGAATCTCCATCAATAACCCCATTCCAACCATAACACTCTCATCGCCATTAGCAGGGTCGAACCTTTGCGGCCCATACTGCGCCAACAACATATACGCGATCCTCACAACAAAGAAAGGAAGCGCCGCCAGGACCAGCAGGACGCAGCGGTGGCCAGCTCTGGGGAGGATGGAGCGATAAGCCACGGCTATCCAGCCAAACAGTCCACATCCGAACGCAAAGATGAGAACGAGCAAAACAGATCCAACCACTTTGCATGCATAGACGGCGGCACTCTCTCCCACCACAATCAAGACTATACCGAAGAACACGGGGAATCGGAAGAAATGGAGTAGGAAGCGGATGGTCTTGGGATATCTGGAGTTTCCAGGGCCGGTTCTACCTGTTTGTCCACTATAACAAGCACGGTTGTTAGACAGTGAATCAATACAAAGGGGAAGGGGAGCAACTAACCTCCTTAGCATTACGAGGCTCACTTCAAACAATAATGGCGAAAGGCCAATTCCTTGCAGGATTGCTTCTGTCATAATCACTTTCTTGTCCTTGGAGCCTGAGAGCACCATTCCGGACCCGGCAATTCGAACTGGCGTTCTAGGGTCAGCGTGGGTACAACACGATTATCACCAGGATGTCACTTACGTTGTGCCACTAATCCGATCAAGCCATACCAGGAGTAGAAAATACAGCGAGGAACGGATTTTCGCTTGTTATGATGCCAGTATTTCCACTCCTGCAGAAACCGGGTGGTACATTGGATGATTTGGATGAGAGAGAAGATGACCACCTCAGCAATGGCAATGTGGCGCTTGTCTGTGGAGAAGGCTGGGATTGGCATATTTCGATAGTCTTTCTTTCTATATTCTATATAGAAGAGGTGTGGCACTTGTTGGGTGTGTATAAGGTGTGTATAAAGGAGAAACCGAGATTGTTCATATAAAGATGGGTTCAGTATTAGGAATTGGAACACCGAACTGAGTGATGAAGATCAGCGTAGACATGCTTCCAGACACCCTTTTATATCCACATCTGTCCCCTCTCTCAACTCCTGCTGAGCCAGAGAAAAGAATATAGATGTGAGGCGCAGTGGAGCCCTCGCGACAGCTGACCCATTTGGGATTAGCGCCTGTTCAGTTCGCGCGCCAATCAACGTCCACAGACTATACGAGGCCTCCAGTTGTCACTTGGAACTATTTGCATGGAGTGAAGCACGAACCTTGGAGACATTGGACAATCTGAACCTTTTTGATACCCTGGAATAACGTCAGCAGGAGACAGCATAACACACAAGTCCTATCCGTATTGTTTGCTGGGTCGAGCTGTGTGTACATGGCAAGTCCACAGGTTACATGACAACTACCATTAAAAGGCCAGATCTTGATAAGAGAACTGCTCGAAAAAAAGCCTTCGGCCTCATAGCCAGGGATCACTACTCAACATTCGAATTCTGAGATTAGGGCTGGTAGACAGTTTTGATCCAAGCAGTCACCTGATCAGGGCTGGATCCTGCGTGAACCTGCATGTCGTCTTCAGCCTTATTCTTTAAAATCGCTGATACGATGACGTCCAAAGCCGTGGCCAACCGAAGAAGGAAATTCCTTGTCTAAATCAACATCACCAGTGCCTGCTTAACTACTTGATGTACTCCGCCTAGTTTATTGCATCGTGATTGGTTGTTAGTGGTGGCTGAGTATGCAGATCTTCGATTAAATCCGAGTCGCCTACGAGGCTGAACTGCTCATAAATTGAGTTCACCGCTTTCTTCAAACTCCATGCTTCCATTAGAAGCTCATCCACAATCAGGTCGTCCTGGGTAAGCTATGCATTATAAACATTTGTTCGGCAGATATCATGAAAGCCCGTTTGATCTGAAACTCCGAGGTTGGATGGGCAGAAGCTGCAAGATTTGTCAAAGGGATTTCGTGAGTGAGAGCGCCGTCGAACAATCAGCGAAGCTCACTGGGTGTATCCTGTGCAGAATCCTTCAGCAAGTCTTCAGTTTTGCCCGCGCCTCAAAAGGATGCTCTTGCCGCGGCTTCGACCTTCTTGACTTCGTATGGGTTCAACAAGTCAACTCCGTCCTGTGGTTCTGCAAAAGCTGTGGTGCAAGGCTCGAGCTACAACTATACACCTTAGATGGTATTGTCCCCACTATCCCAGTAGTTCTCTGTGACCAACTAATGTTCAGGAAATTACCATCCCGAGTTGGACAGATTCCGTGAGTTGGGACGGGTTGATGTGAGACGACATGCAGTGGAAAGTACACCAACCGACGCTGCAATGTCCGAGGTATCTCAATGGTTGGACACCTGCACTAAGCAACACCCCAAATGCCATCTCGCGGAAAACACCCCGTTACCATCACGAGTGCTTGAGATCGACGCGAGTCCTGACCACCCTCTGAAGCTGAGGCTCTATAGAGGTGCACCTGACGAAATGGGACGGTACATTTGCCTCAGTTATTGCTGGGGACCAAAGGGAAGTCCGGTTCAACTAACGAAAGAAACACTGTCGCAATTCCAACAGGATATCGCGTGGGACACACTTCCCCTCACTTTTCAGCATGCTGCACTTCTTACGAGACAGTTTGGCGTTCGGTATTTGTGGATTGACTCACTGTGTATCGTGCAGAACGACAGTGAAGACTGGCGTGAGCATTGTCCACGTATGGCTGAAATATATCATAACGCTTACATCACCTTGGCGGCCAGTGCTGCGCCAGACCCTCAAGCGGGTCTGTACTCTATATCCGATGATGAATGGGCCCGTGGAAAGGAAATCTTCAGCACGAGCGGCGGTCACCCAATTCGTGTCTTTGCTCGTGCCCCTATGCTCGACATGAACACGAGACGGGATCGTGAGCCTCTTTTTATGCGAGCATGGGCGTATCAGGAGCGCATGTTATCGCATCGCATCCTCTACTTCTCTCAACGGGAGATGATGTGGGAATGTAACGAACAAGTTGCATGTCAATGTCTTCACTTGCAAGAACAAATGAGTCTCAAAATCGCATTTTCCGAATCTGCCAATACAAGGGACTTCAACCTCTGCTGGAATGAGATTGTGAGCGAGTACAGCAGTCGCAATCTATCCCATACAGCCGATAGACTACCTGCATTAGCAGGAATTGCCAAAAGAATGCACTCATTGAGGGCCAACGATACTTATATAGCGGGCTTGTGGCGAAGCACCCTTTGCCAGGACCTAATATGGTACGATTCAAGGTTGAGAGTTCATGCGAGACCGACTTGGCAGGCGCCTCATGGTCCTGGGCGTCCGTCAGTTATGCAGTCACTTTCGAAATGAACGAGAAAAACATACAAGACTATTGCCTGAGACTCTCATATGTATCTCACAGTTGCACGCCACTTCATCCAACTGATGAGGGCTGTTTTGGTGGGCTCCAGTCAGCGTCGCTGACGGTCAAAGGAAAACTGATTCCAACTAGTGGAAATCCCCTTTGGAATTCACTGCACATGGGCGAAAGTCGCCTGCAGGGTTATTTCATGATAGGCTATGATTTCTGGCCAAGTGCAGGATCGACGGTAGAAAATATACCCCTCTATATTCTTCACGTCTGCGATAAGCGTACTGGTATTAATAAAACCGAAAGCTACTATCTTTGCCTACGGCAAGTCGATGGAGAAGTACACACCTATGAGCGAGTGGGAGTGTTTCACGAAATACGGAGATCCAGGGCGTACGAAAAGCTATGGCGAACCATCAGCGCAACAACGGTCACTCTGGTTTAAGGCTAGGGATTTTGTGGGCATGTTTGACGTACCCTGGAAGACAGAACCATATAGCCGAACACAAGATAGAAAGTTCCGTCAGCCTCAAAAGGGTAATACAATTTGTCCTGGAGACACTCCAAACAATGGCATCATTGTTTTGTTGATTCTCGAAGGCTGAAAGTTGAAACACTCTCTGGAAAAGGGTCAATTGTACTATACTCAGAAGAAAAAGGAACGAAAGGGCATTGTTGTGACAAAAACCCAAGACTGAGATTGAGAGTACAATAACCTCCTACCTAGTGGAGAGTCAACGTATAAAAGACGGAAGAAGCACTCACACATAATTGACTCGTTCCGTCTGTAGGACTCGACCAATAAACCCAGCTTGAAATTACTGCACTTTCCATTCCGCGGTCTTCTCTCTGAAATCAGTGAACTATTCGCTCGATGTACATACATCCCCATAGTTCGTTCGAACCATATCCCATGGCCACTCTCGCGCGTATTCCACGAGAAGTTCTCTACTATATAGTAGATTATCTCGGCCCTGAGGATCTCACATCGTTATTAGTTGCCTATCCTGATATTACAGGCCACTTGACATCTCAACATTTATCTGTGGCTGGAAAAATGGTTCTACACTTACTCGCTGATTCAAAAATCGAACCCGACCCGGCGTTAAGGGACATGGCAGTAGAACGTCTCAAACAAAACAGCGCCATTCCCGTTAATAGTTGCGATAAACAAGGCTGCACTCCGTTGTGGATAGCAGCGAATCGAGGATACGGAAAGATGGTGAAACTACTCCTAGGGCGAAAAGACTTGGAGCCAGATATACCGAACACATACGGGGTAACCCCACTTGAACAAGTTGTTATCACTGGAGATAAAGCCATGGTAAAACTGCTGTTGGCACATGGTGGCATTGATCCCATTCGCCAATATAGCTATGACAGGAAGAAGGCACCACAATTGTGTCCGCTTTCAACGGCAGCCACGATGGGGCGTGCAGCTATTGTAAAGCTGCTGGTAGAGTACAGTCCGAAGGAGCAATTAGAGAGTGCGGTTGCCCTGGCCTTCAAATGCGCCGCATGCAACGGCCGTGAGGAGGTTATGGAGATTCTAATTAACGGAGTTGAGAATGTTAATTTTCAAATCGAAAACGGACAGAGCGTGTTGTTGTACACATACTCTAAAGGCTACAGGAGTATTGCAAAGCAGCTGTTGACCAAGAACGGGATTGATGCAGGTTGGGAAGGCGACAATGGTCGAACCATGCTGGATATTGCAGTGGATCGAGAAGATATTGAAATGGTGGAGCTCCTTAAAGCTCGAGAGGATGTGAAGTTGTCTTCGGGATTCGCGACGGTGAGGCAGACCTAGCACGCTGTGCTAGAATGTTTAACATCTTACCGGTAAAGTCATATGAACAACTAATGAGGGTAGGAGAAATATGGGAAAGCTTGAGTGAATTGTCTAAGATTAACCTAGGTGGACATGAAACCAGTGGTGGATGTTTGATCTAGTACGGGGAGCAAAGGAAGCAATGAAGCATACGAAGATTTGGAGCAACACCACCATTCCCCCAAGGCATTTATTCAGTTGAATAGATTTGAGGCCTATGTCGTGGGTGTCAGACAAATAATGACATTGTTTACTCTGGTGTATTGTATTCATACTTCATAGATTGGTACTTCATAGATTGGAAAATGCAACAATACTATATCTGATAATGGCCAAGTCTAAAGTCGTCAATGTAAATCGTATTCCGATTCTAAGTAGCTCCAATAAACAAAATACCACTACATTGGCCCCGTATTCAGCCCGAATAACTTAATTCAGGGGTTTTGCGGACAGGCACAGAGTGATTGACACCTTCATTGATTTTGATACCATCGGCATCGGCCTAAATATGATTGGCCCACTGCAACCCGTGACCGGCCAATCCCAAAGTAGCAAGTTCTGGCCTGAGGCCACCAACATCACGAACTCCTCCACATCGACTTTCTCCGGCGGTTCTGGCCGATCTGCTCTAGTCGCCTTCGCATTTCCCTTTCATGTTGTTGTTGTGACTTCCAACCCCGGTCCTACCTCTCTTACCTCTACTCCTCTCATACACTCTTTTCTCCCGCCATGTTCCGTCCCGCCTCTAGAGCCCTCCTCCGCGCGCCGGCCGTCGCCCGTGGCCCGGCAAGCAGACGATTGATAAGCACCGCTCCCGCCGAGTCCAAACCGAGGAGTTGGAAGAACACCGCTGTACGACTGGGATTGGCCGCTGGCGCGATCTACTACTATAACACGAGCAATGTGTTCGCAGAGAATCCTTCCTGTACGTTGAACCCACGAGGAAATTTCCCCGGGTTAAACTACCTCTGCCTTGCTCCTCCGAATCCTATACACAACAATTTTTTTTCAATCAATCAGCATCGCAACTAACAACAACCCCCAGTCTCCCTCAACTCCCAGCTTAAGAAAAACTCCGCCGAAGAACCCCTCCCCACCCTCGACTCCATTAAGCCCCGGATCCGCGAAGAACGGGAATCCGCCGCCCCCAAGCCCCATGCCGAACAAGCCCCAGCACAAGAGCTCTCTCTCGGCGAGGGCGCCTTGAAGTCGCCCCAGGAGCTCGAAGAGGAGGCCGGCCAGGAAGCTGCCTTCAACCCCGAAACGGGCGAGATCAACTGGGACTGCCCCTGCCTGGGCGGAATGGCTCACGGCCCTTGCGGAGAGGAGTTCAAGGCTGCGTTCAGCTGCTTCGTGTACTCTGAGGAGGAGCCTAAGGGCATGGACTGTATTGAGAAGTTTAAGTGCGTTTGAACCTGGACCTGGACCCATTTCGGTGTAGCCTTTTTTCTCCATTGAGGGTTATTGTGGAGCTAACGTTTGGGTAATCATCACAGGGGCATGCAAGACTGTTTCCGCAAGTATCCCGAGGTCTACGGCGCTGAGCTTGAGGACGATGAGGAGGGTGCTCCTGCTCCCGCCCCCGAGGGTGAGGCCCAGAACGCTGCGCCCCTAGCCACCGAGGTTGATGCGGCTTCGCATCCCGAGGAGAAGCGTGCCCGCGCGAAGGAGACTACCGCCCAGGTGAAGTCAGAGCTCTCCGAGAAGGGCGAGCTCCCTGAGAGCGACGACTTGCTTCCCAAGGCTTGGCACGACTCGGAAAGCAAGAACGAGACTCCGTCCGAGAAATAAAGCAATGCGCAACTCACATGGGTGTGTTGAAAATGCGTGACATGGGCCAACGGAACAGAGTCGGATCTTTTGGATTATCTCGGTGGATAAAATTTTAAAAAGTTTCATGAGGCTAGATCTGAACTGCTCTGGGTCCGCGAGGAATATTTTGGGATTGGTTGGAGGCTGTGTGTATTCTTTTGTACTATATACCCTTTTTCCACCTTCCCCAGTTTGTTTCTCTGTCGTGTCCTATTTATAAAGCTATCTCACGTCATCTCTCTTCTATTGTTCTTCCCTATGTTGTCTTCCTTTTTCTTTTTGCGTTTGAAGTCTCAGCATCCATTCCCACTTTTGCCTTGTGTTTTTCCCCCTTCACCATGTAACTTATTGTACTTGTACGCTGTGGCCTTTCGGAAAGAGTCCTGATAGAAATAGAGTCTGCTTTCTACTCCGCAGTATGCTTGGTTACATTGCTTGTTGAGCGTCTCGGCTGTGATGAATGTTTACAGGATAGTTGCAGTTCACGTGGTACGGATCTTAGGGTTAAGAAGAAACAACATGGCATTATCATCATTAGCAATTTTCCATGCAAATTGTTGGATCTCTGTGGCAATTTTAAATCGATCCTTATAAAGTTCAGCAAGGTCCCAGTCACTTATCCACATTGCCGAGCTCATGCAGCGTCGCAATAGGGAAGTCGTGCAGATGATCATAACACATCTCGTCACAGTCTCATGGCGTTGTCCTTTCTGTTGTCAGAGAGTTGTATAACAGTGAGTTGAATCCTGCATCAATTCTTCCTGGGCAAGTGTCTCAGAACAAGTGCAAGACTGGGTTGACATGCACAAGACATATTTGGGCCCTTAAGAATAAACTTGTATTCTTGTAAATATGGGTTCCAGATGAGCTTCGACGTTGTGTCTTTCACCAGACATGAATATGCGGTGACTTGTCAGGAGGTACCGCGCGGGAGGTCTGCGGCTGGTGCAAAAAAGAGCGCATCAAGGTACCTTGTACTGATGAAGTCGGTGACTCGGTACCCTTTCGTATAGTGGATTAGAATTCCTTCGGCCAGTTTACCAGTTCACGTCGCTCAGCTGCAACTTGCGAGAACGAAATGCCGTCCGATTGCCGCCAGACTTATCAACTCTGGAGTCGCGAGGGGAACGTTTCTCGAGTGCTGGGTGTAGGTTAGCAATGAGTAGCAGTTGTACATTACAAGATTGTCTCACCCTCGGCAGTTTCCGCCTCATTGGACATCTCATAATTAAGCACCAGGTTCTTGATCCGTTGTTGTTCTTCTCGATCAGCTTGCTGTTGACTTCTCATGGCAACTGCAAAACTAGAGTCAGACGGCAGGTCGATGGTACGAGTCTAGTCTCAGTCAGCAGGCGGTTCTTTATATACGAACATGAATAGGCAAACCTGTTGCTTGTTGCCCTTTTTAGTCATCAAGGAGAAAGCCATCGTACTGGGCTGGGGCAGGGGCTTCGGCTGTGGCTGTGGCTGCGGCTGGCTAGTCTCGGGAGCACTTTCACCTGCCGCATCCCGAGGAGCTCGTTTCATGGGAAGAGGTATATCGAATACGCCCTTACGCTCGAACTTTCGGGAATCCATGCTCTCTGCCATCATTTTTTCAAACTCGCGATCGAACTCGGCTTCGGCTTCAGGGTCTCGTTCCTCCTCTTGGCGTGTAACGAAGATTTGTTCGTCTTCCGAGTCACTATCACCGTTTTGTTCGGCATTGGGCCCCGATGCCTACGAGACATTTGTCAGCACAACTAATTTGAGTCTATATGCAACGTATCTAAAACTCACTTCAGCTTCGTCGCTGGACTCCCCGTCCTCGTCCACCTCGGGCATGACATCATCCTCGAAGCCGTCATCAGATGAGCTACTTTCCGCATCGTCATCATCTGGCTCTGCAGGCCTCTCGGCATCTTGTGTTTTGTAGTTCTGAGCTACAGCCTCGCCGAAGACACGGGTGGCCTCTTCCAGGTCGGTGACTAACTTCCACTGAGGACGAGTCATAGAGAATGTATCTTGGACAAGGAAGTCAATGTCCATGGGCAGTGGATCTTTTGTCGTCATGTAGTACTACATGATCAATTAATAACATATCCAATCGAGAAGCGCTTGGCAACGGTTATTACCTGGAAGAACGTCAAGAAGAAGTCCAACTTCTTTTTAGCCGAGCCACGGTCAAAGCAGTGACCACAGGTATCCAGGAGAGTGCAAACCAAGCGAACTCGGAAAAAGTCATCTGGTAAATCTAACGGGTTCAGTTTCCCCGGAACCGGTGTGCCGCCCTCTGTATCATCATTAGTATTGGGATACTATTTGATGCTCGCTTTGGCTTACCATGACCAAAAGTAACAATCCTGTACAAGGTATCAAAAATAACAGGAGAGTCGATCATTTTATAGTTATACAACTCTCCGAGGTACTTGACCTCGGCGACGCGCTTCTGGTTGAACTTGAAGTCGTTCTGCTCAAGGCCCAATGTGATTTGCTCGAGGACGTTGTCGACGATGCCAATAACGAAATCCTGGTGATATCTATACAGAGCGCTGACCAGGATCGCTAGAAGGTGGATATTGCCATATTTTACCTTCACGGGTTTGCTGAATACACGCTCTATAATATCAACAACCTGGAAGCGGTATTAGTAACCTTTATTGAGAGAAAAAAACACCAACTCCAACGGATTTCTTACTTCTTGTTCCTCCCAATGCAGTTTTCGAATTGACTTCAATATCCTGGTATAATTGCGCTTGTTCATATCCAAATAGATAAGCCTCCTGATGTAAGACTCCATAGGAGTACGCTCTTTCTGTTGAATGGCAGGCCGGGGTGGAGGATCAACGTAGTAAACCGCATTTTCAATGATCATTCGTTCTTGTTGACCCAGATGCTGAACAGTTTTCTTTCTCCCAAGAGTTTCCAAAAATGAGGCCATTCGGGGGGAAGTCTCGGGGTTGCGAAGCAGATACCGTCCACAGTTCTCTAAGAGATAACCAATGATTTCAATATTCATGCGTGAGAAGTCGTCAAGTGAGACCTTGAAACAGTGGAAAATAATATGCTCCGGGACCACTCCGAACTTGGTCAACTCTGCGAGATAGCGCACATTGCTCATACGAACCTGCCCCAGAAACTCTTTGGACTTGCGGCGTTGAAGGCTTCGGAACTCTTCGTCCAGATAAGTAATCAATCCCTGCGGTATATCTGGTAAATACTGCCCCAGAGTGGCCACCAGGCGCGAGTACAAGGGTAAAAGATCGATACGCCCCTTCGGCACATCCGACACAGCCTTAATGAGCCTATTTCTAGATGCTTTGGAGTTGAGAAAGCAGAAGTCGAGGGCTAACTGATCAACGTGATCCTTCGTCTGCAAATCGGGGAGCTTAGCCAACAGTGCATCGACTTGGGCTCCAACAGTTTTGCTTGCAATGGCCATAGACTGATCGTCTGCATCCGCAGCAGCCCTGTCTTCTGATGTCTGGGCCGGGGCCGGTTCAGACTTGTCCGAATCCTCACCGTCTTTCTTTTTCCCTGCTTCATCGGAGTCGGTCTTCTTCTTCTTACCGTCCTCCAGGAGAACGGCTGGAACCTTGCCTTTGAGGTCAACCAGGTTCTCATAAAAGCGCCTCTCTTCTTCGTCTTCCCAGATACCGGCACCTTCACCCTGGCCGCGTAGGTACTCGGACGTTTTCACAAGCCCGATGCCTCCACTTGACGCAGGGTCGGCAGATTCCTGCTCAGCTAATGCGGGCATTTCCGCTCCCAATGCCTCACACAAGACCTGCGTGTTGGCAACCAACTTTTCCAAAGATTTGCTTTGTTTCTCAAAGTTGGCCTGGCGGTCCTCAAAGATTTCACCACTCTTGACATAAGCCTCAGCGTTACGGCGACTCTGGGCTGCCAGTGCTCTTTGGTCACGAACCACATGCGCCTTGACGTCTTCCAGGTACCGATTCAGGATGCTCTTGAAGCGAGCCTGTGTCTTCTCTGGGGTGAGAGGAGGGTCATTTTCAGCTGCCGTCACATCTCCCGCGCCCTCCTCGCCATTCGTGACCTCCGCAGGGGTCGTCGCTCCATCAGCCTCTACGGTTTTCCTTCCTTCGTCGACAGTCTTCGCTCCGAGAATATCCCAACTGAAGCTCTTGACAAACAAAACGGCGAGTGGCAGATTGGTGTGGTCACGGTCATGGCCCAATAGGTCCTTCAACACTTCCAGGGGAAACGGCTCTGCTTCCTTATCACTGTCTCGGACGGCCGACGGGGCCTTGGCTTTGACTGGGTTTTCTGACGCCTTTCCACCTATCCCAACGACACCCTCTTTGCCCTTGGCACCCAGATCCTCCGGTCGTTCGATATCGTCCAGCGTCCTGAGTACACCAACCAACCAGAGTTCCGTAACCACTCTCAGCAAAACTCGATGTCGGGATAACCGTTCCTTTTCTTCGCGTTCGCGCACCTCCTGGCTGAGCGCTTTCAACTGTCCCTTGTCCGGTGTGCTAAGTCCTCGACCCAGTAGCCATCCAATTTGTCTCGTGAACTCGGCCGGTCCGAACCTCTGGTGCAGTGCGCTCGTGATTTCCACGCCTGTGGCAATTTCCCCAGGCGATTTCAATTTACAAAGCCCTTCATAGCAAGCGGATATGATTTCTGAGAGATATTTATGGAGCGACAGAGTGCGGATATCGGCCAGGAAGGTCTGCTGGGCGGAAGCATTAACTCCGGTGCGTAGACGCTTGATAAAAGCGGTGTTTTTCTTCAACGCTGAATCAAGGGATCTGCCAACTGGAAAGATATCTGTTTTCATGCGGTTGGGCGGTTAGATTGGAACTTGTTGTGCGGGACATTGTATTGGGACGTCATTACCACTCTCACCAGCCCAAGCTCTCTCATTGAGATCGCGAAGCTCCCCTAGAACAAGAACCTTAGTTAGAAACAAAACGTGTACATGGTAAATGAGAGTTGAAGACAGGGTGCGGGGTACACACGCTTCCTTTGACGATCCATCTCTTACTGCCGTTTGTTGTCCGCACAGTAATCCCGCAGTGTCGATTAACTATCGTGGGGTCCTTTCAAAGAGTCGGAAAGGAAAGCGCATAAGTGACTTGAACGCCACATTGGTGAAGCACGTTGGGACCGAGCGCTGCGCAACGTCTTGAGCTTTCTGTCACCGTGCGCCAGGGTTGAGGTGCTTTTAAGAAAAGCTGTGTCGGAGACACTGCGGCGGCGAAAGTGGGAGCCGAAGGCGGTCCTGTTGCTAGTTTCCTGACCAATCCACACCGCGGTTTTCCGCGCGGGTCTAGAAGAACTACCTACTCTTATGTCCTGCCTTGAACTACTTTTGAACCCAATCGTTTCCACTTTCTTTCTTATGACCTTTTGCTATCTGAATATTATAAACCTTTCTGATCTGTGCCAGTACCATAATTAATTCTTCTCTCCTTCTCCATTGTCCACTACGTACTGATATTCCGACCTACACGACTAAGGCTCCAAGATATATCACTGTAGATCCATTACCGAACCGAGGTCTTGGTGAACCTATTGCTATTAATCAATTTGTTAGGCATACATCAATAAACACTAGACATGAGGGGGAAAGAAGCATTGGTTCAAGGAGAAAACGCGAACAAAATCCGAAACAGCCCGCTGTCAGTTGGATCCTATCCACCTAATCATAATCCCATATCAAGTTAGACAGGTTTCATGATCTGGTCCATTGCACCTTCAATCATCAGTTATTCCGTCATTCATTCATTCATTCATTCATTCATTAGACTTCGTGCGACGATTCGGTGAAGCCAGTCTCCTTCCCTTCTTCCACTCCCAACAGCCAGGCCTGAAGCTCATGCTTCCTGTCCTCTTCATTCCAGCTCTGGCGTCGATCAATCATTGGCTTCCACCCCTCGCTCGAAGTTCGACTATCTCGATCGACATCGGAAGCTCTCGGCAGTGCTTCCTGGTCGTTTGCATAAGGTTTGGTAGTTGGTTTCCCAGGAAGCAGGATGGTTCGGTGAGTTTGGGGAATTTCTTCTTTCTGACCTGCAGATGACATCTTGGGGAACTACTAGTAGTAAAGTAGAACCTGGCCAGGTGAATGGTTGTACGTTGATAGTGAAGTATGGCAAATGGTAACTGTAATCTTTAGAGGCTTTGCTTTGAGGGCACCGATCACTTTTTTGGAGCTAAGCTGCAACACTTCAGTAAAGGCAAATATATCAAAGCGTAAAACCCACGTTACGGGTCTGCGAGGATACTGGTTATATGGCTCTCGTCGTCACTGCGTAACAGTGACATGCCATGTCATACGTTGTGGCGAACCTGGAGATTTATTGACGCTCAGGCCGACTGAATCGAAATCATATATCGGGCGAGAGGATAAGTCAACTGTCAGTTGTCTTTCGAAACCCCATGTATCATTGTTGAGGAGATCAGTTGCAAAATCACCATGAAGTCATGCTTGCCTCCCGTCGGTCGAGATAATGTCACCTGGCGCTATACCCGAATCAGTAATTATAACGACATACCTCCAGATATTCAGATCGCCACATCACCCAAATCCAATCCAGTCTACCATGCTCAAGTCATCTTTTGTGGAATGGGTCATCGTATAAAGCTCCAACTTCATCAAACCCGAGTGTGCACCATTCAAGCTAAGTGATGACTCCATGGCTCAAGCTTCTGCGAACATCAAGGATATACGGCATGGCAAAGTTCAGAGGCGAATACCGACAACATACCATGGCCCAGATGTCGATGTATTCCGCTGGTGAGCCCGGAGGTCAACAGGAAGCCGGTACTGAGAATTTCCTGCAGACTGCTTTCCTTGCACCGGACATGTATGGTGGGATTTACGTAGACCTGAACACCTTGCTGAAACCACCTCGCTGCCAAATTGAACTTTGGCTTCGCATCTCGCCTGAGTGACCTCATAATTGGTTATCAACTGTTCGATGCTGCCTGTTTTGGTTAACAACTGAAAGATCTACGTAGCAAGCAATCAGCAATGAATTGGTATCCACTGGCCGAACGCCATTATACGATCTCCCCCCAGCAATTTGGGCTCAACTATGGACTACATCCATTGCAATCCCAGTTTGCTCCATCCACGGTGTCCGGAGACTATCCGCAAAAGCCAACACGATCGTCTTGTCTTCCACGTTGAAGTCTGGGCGCAACCAAAGGAATTGGGCTAGACCTGCAAATACTGCCCACGACGAGCCACCACAGAACAATCTTCTTCATGTACAAGTCTACTCGCCATCCGAAAGGAATCCTGGTCGGTAGTTTTGACCCAGGGATCTGGGGTTCTTCGTTCCAGCACGCTGGGCACAAAGTCATATCCAATCCCCTCTACTTTATATTCACTTTTCTTATTATCGAGTGTCTCCGGATGTGCCAGGGTAGATCCGACTGGGTCCACGCCAATGACAGACATATCTTGACTCTTCTAGGCGATTCAGCTACACCAAAGGCGTAGCGCCAATATGGTCTGCAACACACCCGCTCAAAGGCTGGCCGATATATGGAGGCGCCATCGTCTTATACTTCACGTCGGTAGAGACAGAGTAGTACGTAGACCCTACAAGAGAAAGCTAGGTGGGGAAGGAGAGAGCAGTTTATTAGATACCGGTATCAATTAAAACATCCTCGATGTGGCATCGACCTAATTCATTCCATTGATAACAACTCTGTAAATATGCAAAGATATCTGAACAACTGGAACCAACAACGCCCTTGACATTTCCTAATCGAGTAAGTCATAGTTCCAAACGACGGAGTCCCCACTTCCCATGCCCAAAATGGACTTCATAAAGGCACACAACGCATGAAAGAGAAACTTCCAGCCAGTTACTCTACAGATATTTTTCCACCTTGGTGTTCGTTATAAATACCCTATTCTAGACTCTGCCCTGTACATCCTAGCAAGAATATAAACCGAGGAAAGTGAGCGTCGATATCACAATTTTCCACTAAATCTCTCTTCAAAACCAACCCAACCCAGACCAAATACAACAAGGAAGAGAAAGAGATAACAATGGCGGCATCCAGAGAAAAAGAAGTCCTCCAAAACGCAGCAGGCCAACTCCGCCTCATCAAGCACTTCAAGACTCAGTGTGTTTCCCTCTTGCTCTCATGATACTCCAAAGAATGAACACCGACTAATACTCCGACCAGTTCACCAGACAACCAAACAGCAGGATGGTCCAATCTCTGGGACACAAACAGCAGCAACCTCTGGGATAGAGGCATGCCCTCTCCTGCACTGATCGATTTCATAGAGGAGCGATTAAACCCGCTTACGAAAGACGGGAGAAGGAAAAAGGCACTTGTTCCAGTACGTCTTCCCCCCTTTCCCTGTTCTCTTCTTCTTCTTTTATCGTCTCTATACCTTTCTAGAAGGAAATACGTGGCCAGATCCTAGTCACAGTTACTAGTAACACCCCAACAAGAAACTAACAATCCCCTCAGGGCTGCGGGAAAGGCTACGACGTAGTCATGCTCGCGCTCCACGGTTTCGAGGTCTTCGGACTCGAAGTCTCAGAAACAGGTGCTTCTGTAGCGCGGGACTACGCACGAAATGAATTGCATAGTCCGCAGAACTACAACTTCGGCTCCCACTACAAAGTAAATCCGGGAGTAGGGAAGGGCGAAGTGACCATTCTTCAGGGCGACTTTTTCAAAAGGGATTGGGAGGATGGGATGCAGTTCGATTTGATTTATGATTATACGGTTCGTTTTACCCTCCTTTCCTCTTTGTTGGGCTTGGAGGTGATTGATAGGTTGGTTGGCGAGTGAGTGGTACTGACGCGTATACTAGTTCCTCTGTGCGCTTCATCCAAATATGCGTCGTCAGTGGGCTGGGAGAATGGCCGATCTGCTTGCGCCGAGTGGGTGGCTTGTTTGTCTTGAGTTCCCGTTGTTTAAGGACCCGAAGATGCTTGGTCCGCCTTGGGGGTTGAAGGGGGTGCATTGGGATCTGTTAGCGGAGGGCGGAGATGGGATTGTTGGTGGAGATGTTGGTGAGGATGCTAAGGGGGAGGGCAAGGGCGCATTTGAGCGGTTGTTGTATTTGAAGCCGGAGAGGTCGTATGCGAATGGGAAGGGGACGG